CTCCCTGCAGGAATCCAGGGATTCTCTCTGGGGGAATCCAGGGATTCTCTCTGCGGGAATCCAGGGATTCTCTCTGCAGGAATCCAGGGATTCTCCCTGGGGGAATCCAGGGATTCTCTCTGCGGGAATCCAGGGATTCTCTCTGGGGGAATCCAGGGATTCTCCCTGCGGGAATCCAGGGATTCTCTCTGGGGGAATCCAGGGATTCTCCCTGCGGGAATCCAGGGATTCTCCCTGCAGGAATCCAGGGATTCTCCCTGCAGGAATCCAGGGATTCTCTCTGGGGGAATCCAGGGATTCTCCCTGCAGGAATCCAGGGATTCTCCCTGCAGGAATCCAGGGATTCTCCCTGCAGGGATCCAGGGATTCTCTCTGCAGGAATCCAGGGATTCTCCCTGGGGGAATCCAGGGATTCTCCCTGCAGGGATCCAGGGATTCTCTCTGGGGGAATCCAGGGATTCTCTCTGCGGGAATCCAGGGATTCTCCCTGCAGGAATCCAGGGATTCTCCCTGGGGGAATCCAGGGATTCTCTCTGCGGGAATCCAGGGATTCTCCCTGCGGGAATCCAGGGATTCTCTCTGGGGGAATCCAGGGATTCTCCCTGGCTCTGCTCTGCTCCCACTCCAGCCTCTCACTCCCGGCCATTCCCAGCTCTGGGAGCAGGAGGGGAGAGCAGCCCCCAGTGCTCCCAGTGCTCCCAGTGCTCCCAGTTCCAGCAGCAGCTCCTCCCGGTGTCCAGCAGCGTTTTGGGGTCCCCAGGGGGGGAAGGAGCAGGTGGGGATCCAGGCTTTTCTCCCCAGCATTCCCGAGGATTTAAAGGAATTCCCGTGGTTTGGGGAATTCCCAAAGCTCCCCTCAAATCCATTGTTTTTCCCTCATTTTTTCCTGGATGAATCCTTGAATCTTTTCCCTCCCCGAGCGCCCCAGGCCCTTCCTGTGAGCAGAACCCCGACACTCGCACCAGCAGCACTTCTGGGACACCAGTTACTGCAAACTGGGACAAACTGGGACACCAGTTACACTGACTGGGACAAACTGGGACACCAGTTAGACACTGACTGGGACACCAGTTACACTGACTGGGACACCAGTTACTGCAAACTGGGACACCAGTTACACTGCAAACTGGGACACCAGTTACACTGCAAACTGGGACACCAGTTACACTGCAAACTGGGACAAACTGGGACACCAGTTACACTGACTGGGACACCAGTTACACTGACTGGGACAAACTGGGACACCAGTTACATACTGGGACACCAGTTACTGCAAACTGGGACACCAGTTACTGCAAACTGGGACACCAGTTACACACTGGGAGACCAGTTAGACACTCACTGGGACACCAGTTAGACACTCACTGGGACACCAGTTAGACACTGACTGGGACACCAGTCACTCACTGGGACACCAGTCACTCACTGGGACACCAGTCACATACTGGGACACCAGTTACTGCAAACTGGGACACTAGTCACTCACTGGGACACCAGTCACATACTGGGACACCAGTCACATACTGGGACACCAGTTAGACACTGACTGGGACACCAGTTACATACTAGGACAGCAGTGCCCACCGCAGACCGCTTCAAACCCCAGCATGTGACAGATCCCTGTAAATATCCCAATCCAACAAAAACTTGAAGTTTCCCATTGCCAGCAGCTCCCAAACCCTGCTGGGAGCTCCCAGAACCTTCCAGCAGCTCCCAAACCCTGCCGGGAGCTCCCAGAACCTTCCAGCAGCTCCCAGAACCTTCCAACAGCTCCCAGAACCTTCCAGAAGCTTCCAAACCCTGCCGGGAGCTCCCAAACCCTGCCGGGAGCTCCCAGAACCTTCCAGAAGCTCCCAAACCCTGCCGGGAGCTCCCAAACCCTGCCGGGAGCTCCCAAACCCTGCCGGGAGCTCCCAGAACCTTCCAGCAGCTCCCAGAACCTTCCGGAAGCTCCCAGAACCTTCCAGAAGCTCCCAAACCCTGCCAGGAGCTCCCAAACCCTGCCGGGAGCTCCCAAACCCTGCCGGGAGCTCCCAGAACCTTCCAGCAGCTCCCAGAACCCGCCGGGAGCTCCCAAACCCTGCCAGCAGCTCCCAGAACCTTCCAGAAGCTCCCAAACCCCGCCAGGAGCTCCCAGAACCTTCCAGAAGCTCCCAAACCCCGCCGGGAGCTCCCAAACCCTGCCAGCAGCTCCCAGAACCTTCCAGAAGCTCCCAAACCCCGCCGGGAGCTCCCAAACCCTGCCGGGAGCTCCCAAACCCTGCTGGGAGCTCCCAGAACCTTCCAGCAGCTCCCAAACCCTGCTGGGAGCTCCCAGAACCTTCCAGAAGCTCCCAAACCCTGCTGGGAGCTCCCAGAACCTTCCAGAAGCTCCCAAACCCCGCCGGCAGCTCCCAAACCCTTCCAGCAGCTCCCAGAACCTTCCGGGAGCTCCCAGAACCTTCCAGCAGCTCCCAGACCCCGCCGGGAGCTCCCAGAACCTTCCGGGAGCTCCCAGAACCTTCCAGAAGCTCCCAAACCCCACTGGGAGCTCCCAAACCCTGCCAGGAGCTCCCAGAACCTTCCAGCAGCTCCCAGAACCTTCCAGCAGCTCCCAAACCCTGCCAGGAGCTCCCAGAACCTTCTGGAAGCTCCCAGAACCTTCCAGCAGCTCCCAGAACCTTCCGTAGCTCTTTTCCCGCGGTGCTCCAGGCAGGCGTTGAGGATCCGCCCGTTTCCCTCCGTTTCCCGGCCTCGACGCCCCTGGGAGCCGCTCCAGGGTCTTTGGTGGTTTTTTTTGGGGAGGTTTCCCCCCGTGAGGTTTTTTTGGGGTTTATTTTTCCAGCTCGGCACCGCTCGAACCGTTTTTGTATTTACAACCTAATAAAAAGCTGTGGTTTCCACGAGTCTCGGCTCTCCGCCTGTTCCTGGGGATTCCCAAATTTCCTTTCAAAACCCTAAAAATCGGAATAAAACCACCGAGATCATGGCGAGGAACTCTTCCTGCTGTGAGGAAAGTGGGATCAGCCCACTCCAGCAAGAGGAGAACCCAAAAATTCACCTGGAAAATCCCGCAGGGAAGATTTTCCTGATAATCCAACAAATTCCTTCATCCTCTGCTGTGGATTTAATCAGGAAAATGGGAAGGATTTTTCCAGTTTTGTCTCTCTGGGTGGGAGGCAGACCCTGATTTGCTGAAACAACTCAAAAAAACAACCTTGGCTCCTTCCCAGAAGTGAAAGAATTGCTCAGTAAAAAATTAACAATTAAAAATTCAAAATTCAAAATTCAAAATTGAAAATTAAGAATTGAAAATTAAAAAATTGAAAATTAAGAATTGAAAATTTAAAAATTGAAAAGTGAAAATTAAAAATTAAAAATTGAAAATTAAAACATAAAAATTAAAGATTAAAAATTGAAAATTAAAAATTAAAAATAAAGAATAAAAATTAAAAATTAAACATTAAAAATTAAAAATTGAAAATTAGAAATTGAAAATTGAAAATTAAAAATTACAGGGCACAAAAAGGATTTTTTATTTTTATTTTTTCTCTCTTCTCACACTTTATTTAACCTGCACTACTCACCGAGCACTCACACTTTACAACACGGTGCAGGAAACCTCCCCCTAAACCCAAGGTGGTTCTTTGGTTAGAAAACAAAAGGATTTTTAAAAAATTCACCATCCAAAGAGTGAAATAAAGCCCAGCCTAGCTGCACTCTAAGAAATGTTACACAAATATGGCTTCAATTTTCAGGTTTTTTTTCAAGTAATTCCTCTACAGGAGAGCTTAAATTAAAAATCCAGCAGGGAATTGGGAATGCTGGGGTTTGGAGAATAAAACCAGGGAGGCTGGAATTGCTGGGATGCCAAGAAGATCCTGCAGGAGCGGGGCTGGCTCAGGAGAAATGGGGATAATCCCAGGGCAGAAAGGAGAAATGGGGATAATTGAGCTCAAACACAACCAGGAGAAATGTGGATAATCCCAGCTCAAAGCAGGAGAAATGGGGATAATCCCAGCTCAAACAGAGCAGGAGTGTGAATAATCCCAGGTCAGAAAGAAAGGAGGAGAAATGTGAATAATCCCAGCTCAAATAGAAAACAGGAGTGTGAATAATCCCAGCTCAAACACAAAGTAAAAATGTGGATAATCCCAGCTCAAACACAAAGCAGAAATGTGGATAATCCCAGCTCAAACAAAGCAGAAATGTGAATAATCCCAGCTCAAACAAAGCAGGAGTGTGGATAATCCCAGCTCAAACACAAAGCAGAAATGTGGATAATCCCAGCTCAAACAAAGCAGGAGTGTGGATAATCCCAGCTCAAACAAAGAAGAAATGTGGATAATCCCAGCTCAAACAAAGCAGAAATGTGGGTAATCCCAGCTCAAACAAAGCAGAAATGTGGATAATCCCAGCTCAAACAAAGCAGGAGTGTGGATAATCCCAGCTCAACACTTCCAATAAATACCTGTGAGCTCCGAGCGGGGAACAGCCCCACGTGCGAGACAATAAATAAGAAATATTGCATTTTCTATCGGCCTGTTCCGAGTCAGTCTGGAATGTCGTGGGCCAGAGAGGCCCTGGCCAGGCCTGGATCCAAGGGGGGGCCCAAATCCAAGGGGGGGCCTGGTTAGGCCCGACTTTTGGGGGGCCCAGCTAGGCCTGGATCCAAAGGGGGGCCCAGATCCAAGGGAGGCCCAGCTAGGCCCAGTTTTTGGGGGGCCCAGCTAGGCCCAGATCCAAGGGGGGGCCCAAATCCAAGGGAGGCCTAGCTAGGCCCATCTTTTGGGGGGCCCAGCTAGGCCCCGATCAAAGTGGAGGCCCCAGATCCAAGGGGAGCCTGGGCCCAGATCCTGAGGGACCCAGATCCAAAGGGAGCCCAGCTAGGCCCAGTTCTCTGTGGGCCCAGCTAGGCCTGGCTCTTGGGGAGCCCAAATCCAATGGGGGTCCAGCCAGGCCCGGCTCCCGGTGGTGGGCCCAGATCCAAGGGAGGCCTAGCTAGGCCCGGCTCTCGGTGGGCCCAGCTAGGCCTGGATCCTGAGGGGCCCAAATCCAAGGAAGGCCTGGCTAGGCCTGGCTCTCGGTGGGCCCAAATCCAAGGAAGGCCTGGCTAGGCCCGGCTCTCGGTGGGCCCAGATCCAAGGGAGGCCTAGCTAGGCCCAGCTCTCGGTGGGCCCAGCTCCTGAGGCGAGCCCAGCCAGGCTCAGATCCCAGGCCTGCCTAGGCAGGCAGAGCCTCGAGCTCTTTGGGTTTCAGCAGTTTCTTGGCGGCGATGATGGTGTTTTTCATCAGCATGGCCACGGTCATGGGCCCCACACCGCCGGGCACCGGGGTGATGTAACTCGCCTTCTTCCTCACTCCTGAGGGGAAAAGCTCGGCTTAAAGGCCAGGCAAGGATTCCCAGCCTAAAGCCACGCAGGATTAACACTTTAGGATGGGCTGCAGGTGGTTTTTTCATGTGGACCAGGGAAGCACGGCCCGATGCGTCGAGTTAAAGGAGCTTAACTGCAAAAGCAAGGTGGGGAAAAGAGCCAAGCCAGGCCTGGAAGCACAAGGGTCCAAAACAGCACAAAAGACAGGCTTAAAAGCACAAAAATCAAAGCCTTAAAGTGCCAAAAAGCCAGGCATTGGAGGCTCAGAAAGTCAGGCCTGGGAGCTGCAGAAAGCTGGGACTAAAAGCACCAAAAAACTGGGGTTAAAAGCATCAAAAAACTGGGCCCAAAACCACCAAAAAACTGGGGTTAAAAGCACCAAAAATTCGGGCCCAAAACCACCAAAAAACTGGGATTAAAAGCACCAAAAAACTGGGATTCAAAGTACCAAAAAGCCAGGCCTAAAAGCACCAAAAAGCCAGGCCCAAAAGCATCAAAAAATCGGGCCCAAAAGCACCAAAAAACCAAGATTAAAAGCACCAAAAAACTGGGATTAAAAGCACCAAAAAACCGGGATTAAAAGCACCAAGGCCTAAAAGCACCAAGGCCCAAAAGCACCAGAAAGCCAGGCCTAAAAGCACCAAAAATTTGGGCCCAAAAGCACCAAAAAGCCGGGCCCAAAAGCACCAAAAACCTGGGCCTAAAAGCACCAAAAAGCCAGGCCTAAAAGCACCAAAAAGCCGGGATTAAAAGCACCAAGGCCTCAAAGCTGATTTGCAGCCCAGAAATGTCAAACCCCAGCCCAGCAGCAGAGGAAAAGGCTCAGAGCAGAGGCCCAGGAGGCTCCTCGGGACCATCCCCAAGGAATATTCCGGATTCACCTCGAGCTCGGTGACGCCAGCCAGGCTTTGTGTCCCCTCCCCATCCTGAGTGCCCAATAAATCTGCTCCAGAGCTTCTCCTCACCTTCAAAATCCACGTCCCCCACCAGCCTGGGCTTGGCAGTGACGGGGTCCTGCACCCTGGTGATGCCCACGTCGATCACGGCGGCGCCTTCCTTGATCATGTCGGCCGTGATCAGGTTGGGGATGCCTGAAAAACCAAAAATACACACAAAAATACAAACCTCAGAGGTGTTTGACATCCTCTGATCCCACTCACCCCACCTTCACAGTGTTACACATTTTAATAAAAACTGCTTTTGTTTGTATAACCCAAGAGAAAAAAAAATATTGAGGAAAAAATATTGAGAAAAAAAAATTATTGAGGAAAAAAAAATAGCTGGAGAACTCCTGCATTTGTAAATTCTCTTATCCAGATGAAAACAGCAGTGACCAGAACTCTGGGGGGGAGGAATTTATTGTATTTTTGGTGTCAGGGAATGTAAATCTCAATTTACATCCAAGAGGATCGATCTATGGGGAAGGGGGTAAGAGAAAAATAAACAGAAGAACCCCAAAAATCCTAAGAAGAATTTATGGATATGTGTGAGAATTTATGGATTTGAATGAGAATTTATGGATATTAATGAGAATTTATAGATATGAATGAGAATTTATAGATATGAATGAGAATTTATGGATATGAATGAGAATTTATGGATATGAATGAAAATTTATGGATATGAATGAGAATTTATGGATATTAATGAAAATTTATGGATATGAATGAGAATTCATGGATATGTGTGAGAATTTATGGATATATATAAGACTTTATGGATATTGATGAGAATTTATAGATATATATAAGAATTTATGGATATGTGTGAGAATTTATGGATATGTGTGAGAATTTTATATATTTATATAAATATTTATAAATATATTAATTTTTTTCTCCTAATTGTTTTGGGTTTTTTTTTAATTAAACTTTTAAATTCTATAAAAATTACGTGAACCTGGTTTTTTTCACACCAGGATGTTCCAACCCTCTTGGGCCTCCCTGCCTCTCCCAAAATAACCGGATTTAAGAATATTAAAGGATTTTTTTAAGGAAAAAAACAACCCCAAATCCCCCCCCCACAGCGGCACAAATGGTGTTCAGCTCGGGTATTTCAAGTGGAAGAAGGGAAATTCAGGTTGGATTTCTGGGAGGAATCTCTTTCTGGGAGGGAGGGAGGCCCTGGGAAGAGGAGTTCCATCCCTGGAAGTGCCCAAGGGATGGCTTGGCACAACCTGATGTGGTGGGATGAGCCCAGAGGGCTGGAACAGGATGATCTTTAAACCCAAATTCCGTGATTTTGTGTTCCCTGATAATCTCTGAGCGCAGAACAGGAATCCTCAGGGAGTTCTGGCAGAAAACCAGGAGCACAACCCCTGGAAATCTTTCCCTATTTCAGCTCTGTGGCTTTTTATTTCACATTTTCCAGGCTGGAGGAGCTGGGGCAGTGGCCAAAGCCAGCCCAGCCCAGCCGGGCACGGCTCTGGCTGTGCCAGGGAGGGCCAGCAAAAACCTCCCGGGGCTATCCCAGCCTGCCAGGGTGGGGTGAGTGTCTGGTTCTGTCAGATATCGGGGGGGATCCACCCCCAGCCCGGCTTTATCGCCGTCACTGGATCTCCCTCTGCTCTGCCCCAGGTCACTGAGCCTCCCCCGCCGCTCCTCAGCTTTCCAGAACTTTCCAGAACTTCCCCTCCATTCCCCATTTCCAGCTGGGACAGGGGGGTTTGGGATGGGTTTTGGGAAAGGTTCAACTCCCGCCCAGAGGGAATTTGGGGTGTCTGTGCAGGGTCCCCAGTGATAATTTGGGGTGTCCCTGCAGGGTCCCCAGTGATAATTTGGGGTGTCCCTGCAGGGTCCCAGGGTGGGAATTTGGGGTGTCTGTGCAGGGTCCCCAGTGATAATTTGGGGTGTCTGTGCAGGACCAGGGGCTGGATCCACGATCCTGGTGCTCCCTGCCAGTTTTTGTTTCCCATTCCAGAGGCAGAACCCCAAACTGGGAACACCAAAACTTTTTGGCTCAACCCCAGCTCCAAGAGCCCCCCACCCTCAGCCCCGAGAGCCCCCCCAGGACATTCCATGCCCAGGATTCCCACCCCCAGGCCTGCTGAGGCCTCCTCACCTGCAGCTGCCACCACGATGTCGGCGCGGATCGTGTGCTGCTTCAGCTGCTCCTTGGGCGTGTAGCGGTGCGAGATCGTCACCGTGGCGTCCCCTGCCGCGACAAAGGGGCAGGAATTCGCACACAGCACCCAAAACCGGCCTCTCCTCTGCGTCCTCACCTCCCAGACCACCCCTCTGCTCCTCAGGAAGTTCAGGGTGAGCCCCAGGAGCAGCCCGTGGAGGGATCTGGGGTGGGACGGGACAGGGAGCTGCCAAAAGAGGCTCAGGAGCTCTGATCCCGAGCCTTGAGCTGGAATTGTGACCCCAAACAGGAATTGTGACCCCAAACTGGAGCTCTGACCCCAAACTGGAGCTCTGGCCCTGAGCCTTGAGCTGGAATTGTGACCCCAAGCTGGAATTGTGGCCCTGAGCCTTGAGCTGGAAGATCTTCTGGCTCTCCACAACTCCGTGGTGACAGGAGGGGACAGCCAGGGCAGGGTCAGGATGAGACAAAACAGCTTCCAGCTGTGCCAGGGGAGGTTTAGGTTGGAAATCAGGAGAAAATTCACCATGGGAAGGTTGTAAAGTATTGGAAGAGGTCACCCAGGGCAAGGGGGGAGGCCCCACTGCTGGAAGTGTTCACACGTGGATGTGGGTTGGTGACCACGGCTGCATTTCCTGACCTTGCAGACCTTATCCAACCCTGCCAATCCCGTGATTCTAAGATCAGCTCGAGGATTATCCCACCCTGGGCCAGATCTCTGACCAGGGAACTGCTGGGAGTGCTTTAGGAGGCTGGAGAGTGCTGAGGGTCCTTCCCCGAGGCCACCCTGCTCGTACCTCCGGGCCGCTCGTGGCTGCCGTCGGTGTGGAGCAGCATCGCGATCGGCATCCCCACGTTCTTGGACCTGCCCGCCACCACCACGTTCCTGCCCAGCGTCGGGATTCCTGCAGGGGACAAACCACACACTCACAGGCTGTCCTGAGCCGGGAGGGACCCGCAGGGACCGCGGATCCAACCCCGGGCCCTGCGCCGACACCCCAAAATCCCAACGGCCCCGCAGCTGCGGCAGCTCCCGCTCCCTGGGAATCCTTCCACCCGAGCTGGGATTCCCAGGAATGTCACAGCAGCTCCCACCTGTCCTGCGGATGATCTCCCAGACGCCCCAGGGCGTGGCGGGCAGCATGGAGTCCTGGTCCAGGCACATTCGGCCCACGTTGATCACGTGGAAGCCGTCCACGTCCTTGTGCGGGCTCACGGCGTTGCAGAGCCTGCGCTCGTCGATGTGCTCTGCGGAGGGCAGCGGGCTCTCAGGGACAGCCCAGCGCCCAGCTGGGCTCTGCAGCCCTGAGCCCCAGCTGCAGCGGGGACACAGAGCCCTGGGATGGGGCTCTGAGCCTAAACGGGAGCTCTGAGCCTAAACTGGAGCTCTGACCCCAAACAGGAGCTCTGAGACCAAACGGGAGCTGGAATTGTGACCCCAAACTGGAGCTCTGACTCCAGGTCCTGAGCTACAACTGCAACCTTGAGCTGGAATTACAATCCCAAGCCCTGAGCTCTGATCCCAAGCCCTGAGCTCTGATCCCAAGCCCTGAGCTCTGATCCCAAGCCCTGAGCTGGAACTGTGACCCCAAACTGGAGCTCTGACCTTGAACCCTGAGCTGGAATTGCAACCCCAGCCTCGAGCTCTGTCCTTGAGCTGCAATTCTGCCCCTGAAGCTCCCCAGCACTCCCAGTTCCAGGCTGCCAGCTCCCAGCACAGGCACTGGGAGCACTGGGAGCACTGGGGGGGGATTTTCAGGCAGCCCCAAGGCCACACACAGCCCGAGCTCCCAGCTTGGGAGCCCCGCACAGGAACAGATTCCGTGAGAGCACTGAACCCCTGCGGGCAGCTGCTGCTGAGGGGGAGGATCAGGGCCAGGATTACTGCCCCAACCCTTGGAATCTTTCTGGGAATGCAGGAGGGGGGAGCTGAGCTGCTCACCAGGCAGGGGAAGCTGCACCAGCAGCCCGTCCACGGCTGCGTCGTTGTTGAGCTTGCTGATCAACTCCAGCAGCTCCTCCTCGCTGATGGAGGCTGGCCTGAGGATGGTCTCGCTGCTGATCCCTGCAGTCACCAAATCCACGGGACAGACAGGCACAAAAGAGAGATTTTTTCCAGGCTTTGTGGATTCAAACTGCCCCTGTTTTGCTGCCTGGATAAATCTGGGAGGTGCACGCAAGGATGCCCAGGCTGGGAATTTGGGGTGTCTGTGCAGGGTCCCCAGGGTGAGAATTTGGGGTGTCCCTGCAGGGTCCCAGGGTGGGAATTTGGGGTGTCTGTGCAGGACCAGGGCTTTAGAGACCTTCCCAAGTCTTGAGATTTGTTGTTGAGGACGATTATAAAGGGCCTGGGAAATGGTGTTTGGGACCCTCCCAGAGCAAAGGCTGCTACCATGAAAATAAAACTTCACCGCCTGAGAGGCCTCTGGACACAGCTAAAAGGGATGTTTGCCTAAAAATCCCAGCTCCAAAAGCTGCTCCAGATGTTCAGGACCCAGGTTAAATGACACTGCTGTTCCTGACCCCGAGCAGCACCTTGATTGCAGGATGGGAAGGAGCCAGAGGGCAGCGAGGTGGCTGAACAGGAGCAAAGGAAACCAAAAATCCCTTCCTGTGCATTTTATGGCTCTGGGAAAGCTGGAAAAACCCCAATGCCAGAGCTTGAGCTGCCCTGAAGGATCCAAGGGATCACATTTAACCACACCCCAGTACAACCAGGCAGCCACAAGAGCTCAAATTCTGGGTGAAGGCAAAAACCCAACAGGCAGGTGCATCCCAAAAAGCTTCCAGCGTCGAGGAGCCCCAACCAAAGGGCGCTTTTTGGGGAAGGAAAGCTCTCACTTACCCACATCAGCCGCTGCTTTGGTTTTGTTGAGGACGTAGGAGTGGCTGGCCGGGTTCTCCCCCACCAGCACCACGCTCAGGTGAGGCCTCCTGTTCCCCGCAGCCACCCACTGCTGCACCTCGTGCCGCGCTTCCTGCCGGATCTGCCGCGCCAGCTTCCTCCCCGAGATCACCACGGCGTCCTCCCTGCAGCGGGGAAGGGTCACCAGAGCCTCGGGGCTGCCAGCTGCCAGCCCCAGGCAGGAAAGCCAGGAGGAAAAGGCTCCATCCCTTTTTTGACAGGGTTTTTGGCACTTTTGTGCTCTGTCGCATCCAGCAGCGCGTTTTAGGCTTGGTTACAGCATCAAAGCTGGGAACAGATGAGGCAGAATCAGAATATCCAGAGCTGCAAGGGACCCACTAGGATCACTGATCCAAGTCCTGGCTCCCAAAATCCTGCCCTGGGAGCGTTGTCCAAACATTCCCGGAGCTCCGGCAGCCTCCGTGCCCCTTCCCTGGGGACTGCTCCAAAACTCACCGGGACTTTCCCCTGAGACCCGGCTGCCCTGGGCTCCCAGGGAGAGCGAGAAGCACCAGAAGCTCCCCAAGAGGGGCAAAGAGTGAGCTCAGAACAGTCTGGAGCAGGGTGGGATGCTCGGGGGTCTCTGTCCCTCTCACCCTGGGGATGATGGGGTCTCTGTCCATCTCACCCTGAGGGTGATGGGGTCTCTCTCCCTCTCCCCCTGAGGGGTGATGGAGTGTTTGTCCCTCTCCCCCTGAGGGGTGATGTGGTCTCTTTCCCTCTCACCCTGAGGGGTGATGGGGTCTCTGTCCCTCTCCCCCTGAGGGGTGATGGAGTGTTTGTCCCTCTCCCCCTGAGGGGTGATGTGGTCTCTTTCCCTCTCCCCCTGAGGGGTGATGGGGTCTCTGTCCCTCTCACCCTAAGGACAATGGC